GAACACAGCAGGCCAGGCAGCATCAGAGGAGCAGGAAGGCTGACGTTTCGGATCTGGATCCTTCAGAAAATCTGAAGAAGGGTCCAGACCTGAAACGTCAGCTTTCCTGCTCCTCTGATGCTGCCTGGCCTGCTGTGTTCATCCAGCTCTACACCTTGTTATCTTTAGTTCTTGTTAGTAGCCCTGTAGATTATTAAGGATATTGCATTTATTTTATGATGTGGAGGTGCCGGTGTTGGACTTGGGGGGGACAAGGTCAGAAATCACACAACACCAGGTTTTAGTCCAACAGGTTTGTTTCAAAACACAGGCTTTCCGAGCCTCACACCTTCTTCAGGTGTTAGTGAGAGAGGTGGCATGAGACATAGAATTTATGTAAAAGATCAAAGGGTCATACCACTGATGAGGATGTATTAAACAAACCTAACATGCTGTTAAATCTTTAATCAGTTAGAAGGTTTTAATTGATTAATATGTATATATAAATCCCCAAATTCCTTTCAAGTCACTGTACTGAGAGAACTAAAGGTTTTATCAGTGTAAAGAAGAGGTGACATTTCAGGTCAGACAATGCAAGTTAGGCATGAGGCCTTGCTTAGAATCTGTGTTTTGGTTTGGAGTCAGACTGGTTTTATTTTTAAAGTAGGCATTTATAAAATCCCATATTGACTGTCTATAAATTGTGTGTTTTTTGAACAAAACAGAATGTATGTGCAAATACAAATTCATCCCATAGATTCACATGTGTGTGTGTGAGGGAGAGAGAGTGCATGTGTGCATCCACACACACTCTTTCCACCCCGCCGTGTGCACGCACACACGTGAATCTGTGGGGTGAATTTGTACTTGCAGATACATTCTATTTTATTCAAAAAGCACACAATTTATAGACAGACAGTCAATGTGGCATTTTATAAATTCCTACATTATTAATAAGACCAGTCTGACTCCAAACCAAAACACAAATAGATTCTAAACAAGGCCTCACACCTAACATGCATTGCTCACTAAGATGTCACCTTTTCTTTACTCTGATAAAACTTTTAGTTCTCTCAGGACAGTGACTTGAAATGAATTTGGGATTTACATTTACAAATTAATCAATTAAAACCTCCTATTAAAGATTTAATAGGTTTGTTTAATACATCTTCATCAGTGGTGTGACCCTTTGATTGTTTTACTTACACATTCTGTGTCTGATACTACCTCTCTCACTAACACCTCTCTCAACCTCACACACACACTCTTCCCCCCCCCCCCCCCCCCCCCCCCCACACCCTCCCCCCCCCCCCCACCCCCGCCACACACACATATACTCTCTCTCTCTCTCACACACACACACACGTGTGAATCTATGGGGAAAAGAAGGAGTGAGGCTTTGAAAGCTTGTGTTTTCAAATAAACTTTTTGGACTATAACCTACTGTTGTGTGATTTCTGACCTTGCATTTATTTCAGATGACATGAAGGTTGTTACCTCTAACAACGATATCCAACCATGCAGCCAGTTCCAGAACCTCCCTCCCTCAGAGTAAAAATAAACTTGCCTCCCTCTTGAATGCTTTCATGTCAATCTTGTCTTCAATTTCTTGGAAGTTGGTCTATATAATCAAGGGAATCTGCACCCTTCCAACATTTATGCATCTGAAATAAATCTCATCTCAGCCTTCTCTTTTACAATTAAACCAATCCTGGGCTACCCTTTAAAAAAACATCTGTCAAAACCTCTCCGTAAATCTCCTCTGTACACTCTTGAGTGTGTTCGCATCCTGCCTGTACTGCAATGACAGTTTGTTTTTTGTTACTGAGGCAATTTGGGATTCATCTAACCATTTATGCCATGGATTCCATTGCCCAATTTTTAAAAATTCCTTTCATGGAATATGAGCATGGCTTGCAAGGCCAGCATTTGCTGTCCTTCCATTCTTGACACTGAGAAGGACACCTTTTAATGCTGCAGTCTGATGGTTTGGTACACCAACAGATGTTACAAAGAGAATCCCAAGATTTTAATTCAGGGACGGTGAAGGAACAGCACCATAGTTCTAAGTCAGGCTGGTGTTTTGCTTGGAAGGGAATTTGCAGATCATGGTGTTCCCATGCATCTGCTGGCCCTGTGGGTTTAAATTGAGGCAAGGAAGATGTTGCAGGAGGAGGTTTCACAAGTTGCAGTGGGTCATCTGGAGTTAATGTTTAAGGTGGTGAATGAAGTGTCAATAAAGCAAGCTGTTGTCTTGGATGGTGTTGAGTTTCATGAGTATTGTTGGAGCCACACTCAGTCAGCCAGGTGGAGAATAATAATAAAGACCATTTTTTATTTTTCTGTATTTTTGATTGTTGACTGAAATAGGGAAAGGGCTATTTTTATAAACAAGAGCAATGTAAAAGATTGCTGTACTTTTTAAATCCAAGCTACCAGAACTTATTGTAAGTGCTGCTTACACTGTTGTTTGTTTAACCAGTGGGGGAAGATTTATTGCAGACAAACTGGCAATAGATGTATACAAAATGAGTTTTGGCTGGCAACAAGTAGCTGATTGGTCTGTGAAGTGGTAACCAGTTATTGATGACACAGCCCTTCTGCCTGCCAACAACAATATAATCAGCTCCCAGATAGCTGAACAGCTAAACAAAAAAAACAAAGAATTTCATGTCCTGCAAATCAGAAGCAAAAACAGAAATTGCTGGAAAAACTCAGCAGGTCTGGCAGCATCTGTGGAAAGAAAGCAGTGTTTACATTTTGGGTCCAGTGACCTTTCCTCAGCTTGTGTGTGTGAATGGGATGGCCCCAACCAATTGAACTTGCATAAAGGGAGTTTGTATCTGTCTTTCTAAAATACATAAAGTCTGAGGAAAACTGCTATATTTTCCCTCACTGGTTGCTGTAAACTCTAGCTTTTAACCAACACTTCATACATTGTGAAGTAGTCCATCTCTGGCTCCTGCAGACAAGTTAAAGTACCTAGTGAAGACACATTGAGTGGCAGCAAGATCTGGCACGCCAAAAGGATCATGTCAGTGAACCCTGTGAACAGGAACCTTTGAGCTGTTTTCTCAGATTTTCCCTCCACCCCTCACACTTCTGTTTTTGACTATCTCTATACATGTGCAAAGAGGTTTGTAAGAAGGTTAGAGTTTTAACAAGCAAAGTTATATGTTAATGATTGGTAATTGTTATCTGTAGCTAGAATCTATTTATTTGTTAATAAATAGTAATTCTTGTTAAGAACAGAAACCTGGTCCGTATTTTTTGTCAGCCTCGGTCTAAAAAGACAGGTAATTTGGGGAATTTTATGTCAGGTAGTATTTTTTACTTAACTCAAGGATCTTGGTGCCACTCTGTTTCAAAGTAATGACTTTGTGCTTGGAAAACAACATCGCTAGAAACATGCACCACTTCTGTTTTCTAAGTTGCAATGCTCTTCTGGTATTTCAGCTATACAACAGTTTCTGCCTTCAATTTAAGTCTTTAGTCTAAAAAGGAAAAAGAAATGGTGCTGTGTCAAGTCTTAGTCTGAATACTATTATGGACCAGACCAATCCCCCTCAAAATATGTCCCTAACTTTTATCTTATTTAAAGGCAAGTATAAGGCACAGCGTTCCAGATGTGATTTGATTGTTCCACAACTAGACTTTAAGCAAAACACACTCTATTCTTACAACTTAGTTAAAACACAAACAAAAAAGAATTGGCAGAACTTTAACTCTGTTAAAATAATTAATAAAATAATATATTACTTAACTATTAATCATCAAATGTTCCAGTATAGCAGCTTCCCATAAAGACACCCTTAGCAAAAGCAAATTCAGCAAAACAGTGTTATTCTCAAATGCTATCACCAGTCCAGAGATAGGAGCACTGAAAGAAATGATCTAACAACAGAGACAGAACGTAGACTTTGCTGCAGTAGAGAGAGAGAGAGAGAGCTGTATCTTTCAGCTTCAACAGCCAGCCGCAATTTTAACTAAAAGCAAAACTAAAATCTTGGGTCTGTGCAAGCCTGACTCACTCACTCATGCTTCTTCTGTATAAATTTAAAAAATACTGAGGGAGCTC